ACAAAATAAACAGGTCTATCAATGACATAGATTAATTTTATTTTGAAGATGGTGTGAATAAGACTGAAGCAAGTGTGAATAAGACTGAAGCGAAAGATCAGTTCACTGAAGCAGCTCTTGTAAAGCCTTTTTCTTAAAAAAAAGTGAGCTTTTTCATGTTATAACCGGTGTAGTACTAGGGAAGTAATCACATTGGTAAAGCTAGCAGTGTAGTATACTAGGGGAGTAATCACATTGGTGAAGCTAGCAGTGTAGTATGAGTAATCACTGGTAAAGCCAGCAGTGTAGTATGAGGGGAGTAATCACTGGTAAAGCCAGCAGTGTAGTATGAGGAGAGTAATCACTGGTAAAGCTAGCAGTGTAGTATGAGTAATCACTGGTAAAGCCAGCAGTGTAGTATGAGTAATCACTGGTAAAGCCAGCAGTGTAGTATGAGGGGAGTAATCACTGGAAAAGCTAGCAGTGTAGTATGAGTAATCACTGGTAAAGCCAGCAGTGTAGTATGAGGGGAGTAATCACTGGTAAAGCTAGCAGTGTAGTATGAGGGGAGTAATCACTATTAAAGCCAGCAGTGTAGTATGAGTAATCACTGGTAAAGCCAGCAGTGTAGTATGAGTAATCACTGGTAAAGCCAGCAGTGTAGTATGAGGGGAGTAATCACTGGTAAAGCTAGCAATGTAGTATGAGTAATCACTGGTAAAGCCAGCAGTGTAGTATGAGTAATCACTGGTAAAGCCAGCAGTGTAGTATGAGGGGAGTAATCACTGGAAAAGCTAGCAGTGTAGTATGAGTAATCACTGGTAAAGCCAGCAGTGTAGTATGAGGGGAGTAATCACTGGTAAAGCTAGCAGTGTAGTATGAGGGGAGTAATCACTAGTAAAGCCAGCAGTGTAGTATGAGTAATCACTGGTAAAGCCAGCAGTGTAGTATGAGTAATCACTGGTAAAGCCAGCAGTGTAGTATGAGGGGAGTAATCACTGGTAAAGCTAGCAGTGTAGTATGAGTAATCACTGGTAAAGCCAGCAGTGTAGTATGAGGGGAGTAATCACTGGTAAAGCCAGCAGTGTAGTATGAGGGGAGTAATCACTGGTAAAGCCAGCAGTGTAGTATGAGGGGAGTAATCACTGGTAAAGTTAGCAGTGTAGTATGAAGGGAGTAATCACTGGTAAAGCTAGCAGTGTAGTATGAGGGGAGTAATCACTGGTAAAGCCAGCAGTGTAGTATGAAGGGAGTAATCACTGGTAAAGCCAGCAGTGTAGTACAAGGTGAGTAATTGATAAATTATGACATGGATTACAGTATGAGTGGAGTATTCACTAAACACTTGTAAACTGAGCATTGCTGGAAACACTAATCCAACCCTTTGGTGAGACCAATCTTTTACAAGGGCAATGGTTAACAAATGAAGAAAAGTAACTCTTTAAAATAAATAATTTTCCTGCAGATTTAAGTTTTGTTTTTAAATTTGATGATTTTATGTTTGTTATCTTGAAAAATAAAACACGCAACAGAAAAAAAATAATCAAGGAAATCCATAAAAGTATTGTTATCCTGAATAAAGTGTATTTTTACAAAGCCCTCATTGCAAACCTGATTTACACTAAAATGTATAGATAATAATTTGTTATTGTTATTGTTGTTGTTGTTGTTGTGGGGTTTAACGCCATTTTTCAGCACATGATAGGCTATACATGGCGGCCAGTATTAATGATGGAGGAAGAAACTGGGAAAGCACCGGAAAGAACCACTGACCCACCACCGACCCACCAGAAGCTACTGGCAAACTTTCTCACATATTCACATTCACCGAATCCTAGACTCAACATCCTAGACTCAACCGACGACAGAGGTGAGATGGCAGTGATCTGTAACGGACAGGGCTTTAGACCACTTGGCCACTGCCACTCCCACTCGGGGGCCCCTAATGTTGAAAGGACCAATTAAAGTCTGCCAAACACCCAACATTAATATTATCTCCTTGTCTATTTCAAATGATTCAAATTTTGTCTGTTGCTGTTAACTTGTTGTTTTTTTTAAATCAGGTCAGTAAATAGTGGCCTTTCATTGTTAGAACCTGGAATGAGTCATTATATGGAACAAATATACAGCAGAGAACTAATGCCTGCATACTATGTAGAAGTATCAAGAGAGATTCCTTTGATTTATGGTTAGGTTTTACTGTCAGTCCCATGCCATGTTATCCCTATGACCATCATGGAATGGAAAAAGTACAGATAAACTGTGACTAGCCTTAATAGTTTGCTCTATATCAGATATTTTGAATTCATTTTTTTTTGTGTCCATTTTCAAGGTTTTGTGAAAAATGTCATTTTTGTTGGTTGTGTGTTGGTGAAGGGATCAACTTGCTTCACAGAAAGACCATTCTTCATGGAGTCTTTAAGTTCATGGTTTGAACTAGAGGTGCATGGTACTACAGTAAAACCTCTCTTGAAAGACCACCTCTTTTGCCAACAAATTATGGTCTGTCAAGACAGATGGTCTCATAGCAGGTAACATTGCTATATAATCACTAAATTTGTTCATTGAGAGTGTGGTCTGTCAAGACAGATGGTCTCACATAGCAGTGGTCTTTCAAAACAGGTTTTACTGTACCAGTATACCACATTATTTTTTCCCTATGGTATGAGCCATGGTACTTTTTCACTGTACCAGTACATTCCCATAGAATCTTATTATGATTTTAGTGATATTTAGAATAGTTTAAAATTTTCTTATTCTTTTACAAAATGGTTGTGTATCTCAAAAATTAATGATGAATATTACAAATATGATTATATTATGATCTTTAGTCATACATTTTGCATGTCACACGTCAATGCAGTGGTCCAGTGGAATATTGGGAAACAGTTTCAGGCCAAATCCAACTTTTGGAAAGATTTTTTATTTTAAAAAAAACCCAAACAAACAAAACAACAAAAAACTATATGTCATGTTTTAGTTATTTACTAGTGTATGTGATTGTGTTAGATATATGTATTCATTTTGAAAGACTGCAAATCATTCTTTGATTTTGAGGCATGCAGTTGTTTACAGTCTGAACTTTGCATAATTTTTCGAGTCCAATGAATATTTTCTCATTTATTGGGTAAGTGTGTGTTATGTGTAATGGTATTCTCTAACCAATATCTTGCACAGGTGTTGACATCCCACTCAATGTTACCCTCCCAAATATATCAATAGTTTATCTAGAAAACTGGAGACATCAGTATCAACACTTTCAAATTTTATGAACTGGTTCTCAAATGTAAGCACTATGTCTTTCACAGTGTCAGCTATAGCAATCCCAGTTTTGTTATAGCGTTTAGATTGCAACTTAGTCAACTACAAACTTGCACGTAGCAAATTAATCTACTCTAAGGCACTGGCCATTTAATTTTCCATATGGGGGTGAGGTGGAATTGTGATTCTCTTTTAACTATTTCAGCTAAAATATTTTTTTCTTTATTATCGCAAGGTAATATTTCATCCAGGTAATATCATGGATAATGGATATTATATGGTATTAGTTGGCTATGACTCAATTCAAGATATTTTTTCCAGCTATTAGCAGACAGAAATGAAAGTAAAAAATAAAATAATGCCAGGCACTGCCCAAGAATATTGAATTATTGGTCCCTAATATAAGTGTGGTATACTGCAGTACTTATCATGGTACATTCAGAAATACTATGGTGTAAATATTTTGTTTTATCCAGCTCAAGTTTTGTGCCAACAACAAAATTTAAAAAAAATGATATCACACAAAAATAGTGAATTCACAGGTGGATTTTAATGCAAAAATTCTAGTTCATCATTCATTCAACATCCCTGTTCAAATTCAGCATCCATAATACTTGATTTCTTTAAAATCAGCTTGTTAATACATGTAAACCTTTGCTTCTTTAAATGCACTGCATATAATAAGCATGGAATGCAATACACATAGCAGCCAAATGCATTTTGATATAGTACAGTTGTACATGTGTCAGGTGTCTGCTTTCTTGATCATATCCAGGTAGGGTCTCTGGAGCATAGACTAGTCCAAGGACTGCTGATTTTGTCCATTATTTTAGATACAGGTACATGCTCTTAACAATTGGTATAGTTAAGGATCACAATTTTATTTTGTCAAACAGCATTGTGCATTGTTTTGATAGGTACATATACATTCCACCTACTGTACATGGCAATTTGTAATGACTAGGCAAATTATGGGCATGTTCCAGTACATGGGAACCCTTTTTTGCATTCAGATTGAAATATCCCACCAGTAGATGGCTTTTTGAAGCAATACTATGATGTGTATATTTGGATTAGATATTAGACTGTTCTGAGAACAGCATAAAAAAACTTGATTACTATATATACTCACTTATATGTTGAGTCAAACTGAAAACAACAGATGTTTTGATAATGCACCAGCAGATCAGGGCCTATATAATTTCTACTGATTACTCTTAACAAACTTCACAGACTCAGATCTGGTTCTGTGCAGTTTGCAGTTGGACTCATAAGCAAGCATATAAGATACTTATTTTCAGGTAAAAAGGTTTTGTCACATTTGATCTTTGTGGTATAAACATTTGTTACATACAAACTGCATTGTTTGAGCTGAACAATTTCAAATACAATATTTAATATAATATACATAGTTAAAATGTGTGCATACCTTTCATTTTTGTCACAGCCAACAACAAATGCCTGGAATAAATGCACATTTTGTCATTCCTGGTTGGAGTGAAGCAGCTGCTTAAAGCCTGCCTGGAACATCCTGATTTTCTTGGAATCTACTGGCATGTATGCATGTTTGTCTTATTACTAATTAATGGGTTAAATTAGTGACAAAAATGAGTCTTACATATGCTTGATCAGGCATATTCATACTGTGTGCTCACAATGGAAAGCACACAATATTGACAAAGGGGGATAACATTTGCAACCTGGCTAAGGTAGGGCTTACCCATGAGATGGTCAGTCTTTTTGGATAAATCTAATGCAGTTCAATTTGTGGCCTAGTGGTTAGAGCATCTGCCTCAGATGCAGGATATCATGGGTTTGAACTCTGGTTGAGTAATATCAAAGACCTATAACAATGGTACTAACAGCTGTCTTGCTAGGTGCTCAGCATTGAGTAGTTAGTGTCAGGACTGGTTGGCCTAGTGTCAGGATAAGGTGACTGGGTGGGACATGATGCTACATGTTTGGGGCATGATGCCTCAGTGCTGGGCATCACTATAAACTGAAACACTGCTGACATCATAGTGATATGACTGCAAAATTGTTAAAGTTGTATTAAAAATCAAAAACATGCAAACATACACATGCAGTCCACTTTGTTATTAAAGGAGAAAAAAGAAAACTTTATTGCTGAAAGTAGATCTTTCAGCCCCTGCAGATTAATGAAGACAATGAGACTAAAAGTTTTTATTTGTTAGTGGCATTGGCAAGATGTTGATTTAAGGGCAGTGTAGCATTTTGACAGAACTAAAGTAGGGTACTACAGGATTTAGTAAAATAAACCTCTATTTGAACCTCTCCTCACACAACCTTCAGACTATCATGTAGAAAGATCATATTAGTTGACACCAAGTTTTTGTATGTTCAAGTGTTTTACTCAAACATGTCTTCTTAAGATATTGCATTTGAAACATTTATTCAGCCTGTCATCCCACACTGTTAAACATCCAACATTAAATCTTTTGAAGTGTTTGCATGTTGCACTTAATATGTCTGCTTAAGACTTGAGGTACTTGTTGAATTCTGGGTCATTTAAGCAAGGTATCATGAAATGACCCAACATTTTTTTTTTATGTATACAATGAGTCTATTACATTGAAGATGGTACAAATACCATATATATGTCCAATCCCACTGCCAACTGCACAGATCCAGATCTGCCATTCCATAATGTACCAGCAGATTGCAAAAATTGTCAAGAGTAATCAGTAGATTAAACAGTGTATACCCTGATTTCCTGGCCCATTATTGGCCAGCAGGTCAGGGTCTATATTATTTGCATTTGAAGTCAGCCTATAAGCTGTATGTATGTTACTTGTGTTAACACTTTAATTGATAGATTGTAGTAAGAATTGTATAACCTGCTTGAAAACTATACATGGGATTTAGGACAAGAGCTTAGAATAATTCATATCAAGTAACTAGAAACTGTTTGTCACTACTATATCATATCCTCAAAACCTTGAGTGCCAGTGCTAGATTGACCCAGTGGTAAGATAATTTGTGCTTTTGTGCTCTATGTATACTGTCATGTTTATTATTAATACATAATGTGAAATATAGAGATTTGTTGCCAAAATAATTTTAATAGTGTTTCATTCCTATATTTTTATGTGAAAAAATATATCCATATATTTTCATGTGCAATAATATAAGATTTCCCATCTTGCCATGCAAGGATTGATTGTGTATGCCTATAAAAGTTATACCTACAATAACAAAATCAGTTACTTTGTGAGTTAGAACAGATAAGCAGAAATTGCCTAACATTTTTCATGCATGGAATTTAATCTTTGATAAAGAAATTGAACCAGCTGCCATTTGTCACTCTCAGAAATTGTTTCCCTTTACTTGCTTGACAACAACAAACATGCTCAGATGTATTGCTGAATCGGACTTGCTTTACTTTTAGTTTACAGAATGACAAAATGTAATTTACTCACTCTTCTGCAAAACATTCTCACTCCCACCCCTTTTCATAAATTCCCCTCACTTTCGTTGCTCAAGAGTTAGCATGTTTTGCAGAAGAGTAAGTTTAATCTTTTAAACTTTGATTCTGAAGCAAGTTTGGTGTATAATTTTAAGAAATGTTTTCCCAGATATATTTTATCTTGTGGTACTGAAAACTATTTATTTTAACTTGTGACTTTGCCACATGTAAAAAATATGATCTTGTTTGTACCAAATGAATAAATACATGCAGTATTGGAAAAGAAAGTATCCTATATTTATTTCATGTAATTTATTACATGATAAATTGTCAAATACCCAACTGTTTCATCATTCATTAGAATGCATGGAGAAAAAAATCACCTATTAATGTTTTTATCATGTACAAGAGATATCAGTGTTGGGACCAAATTTAAACAACAGTAATGTCCACTTTTGACATTACTGTATGAGTCTGCAGCCAATTGATGAATGAGATACACATATGTATCAAGTCAGTAGGGTCCAGTTAGTATAAAAAGGACAAATTTTGTTTGTTTTTCATCACAGAATATAAAAAATGACTTGAAAGGAGGCAGTTCTTAAGAAATAAATACTTTTCAGTGTTGCTTGGGGTTTATTTCAAATTGTGTCATTGGAAACAGGTATATGTATGTTAAAATTGATATCTTAAACACACCAGGACATGACTAATATGAATATATGTACAACTAATTATAAAGCTTCCTTATTTGTTTTCAGTTCTTGCCATTGTGACCCTCAAAGCAGGTTGGAGATGGTTTGATGGGATCTTTTGGTTCTAGACAGGCTAGAATGAGTAATCGTGTTGACATTAGTCCTGCAGCAGGTGCCAATAGTACAATTGAGTCAAGTCGAAGCCCTCCCCAACACTTAGAAGAAGAAGAGATACAGGAGCAGGAAGATAGTGAAACAGACCTTCCTGCAATTTTGGCTTATCTTATTCGAAGGTACAACTTCTGTTCATCCAACTTAAGTGAATCAGTATTCAGAGATTAGTTGTTTTTTCAACAGAATATGTTCCTTCAGGTTAAATTGTCTGTGGGCAGAGTTATAAAATGATGATGCTGTACAGTTAAATGTGTTATGACTTTAATGATAAATGACAAGATCTTGAATAACAGCAGTCTTTTAACTTTGGTTTTAGTGTATCATTTTAAAATGTTCTATGATGAAGCAAATGGGAACAACAAAATGGATATCTGACTTGTGTCTATTTTATAATGTATTTGGAATTGATGTTGGTTTGGCTTAATCATATACTGACACAATAAAGTGTACAAGTCTTTGATCTCTGTGCCAATCTTTGTTACAGATGTCTCTGATGTAGTATAAAAACAATTGATTCATTGAAATGAATTCTTGAATTCCATTGGCCAACTATTTATACTTTGAGAAGATGAATTTCTTTTAGAATTATTAATACTATACCTGCCAAGAGCAATGTTGTGTGCTCTTATGTTTTAGTAATATGCCTGTTGGTTTCATATAATTTACTAAATATGTTATTCCAGTGTTTTAGTGTTATGCCAGGTGGTCTTATGTAATTTACTAAATCTGTTATTCCAATGTTTTAGTGTTATGCCAGTTGGTTTCATGTAATTTACTAAAACTGTTATTCCAACGTTTTAGTGTTATGCCAGTTGGTTTTATGTAATTTAATAAATCTGTTATTCCAGTGTTTTAGTGTTATGCTAGTTGGTTTCATGTTATTTACTAAATATGTTATTCCAATGTTTTAGTGTTATGCCTGTTGGTTTCATGTAATTTACTAAATCTATTATTCCAGTGTTTTAGTGTTATGCCAGTTGGTTTCATGTAATTTACTAAATATGTTATTCTAGTGTTTTAGTGTTAGGCCTGTTGGTTTCATGTAATTTACTAAATCTATTATTCCAGTGTTTTAGTGTTATGCTAGTTGGTTTCCTGTAATTTACTAAATATGTTATTCCAATGTTTTAAAAGTTAGGCCTGTTTTTTTTTTCATGTAATTTACTACATTTGTTTTTCCAGAGTTTTAGTGTAAGGCTTTTTGGTTTCATGTAATTTACTAAATCTGTTATTCTAGTATTTTAGTGTTATGCCTGTTGATTTCATGTAATGTACTAAATCTGTTATTGCCTTTTTTCTGGGAACTTTTTATTTATGTTATTGTTTTGCATGGTAGAATGCCCTTGCCATTGACTTGGGTTCAGTTGGAGAATAGTTGCTTTGGATTTTATAACTGAGAAACATTATATCCAAATTCATTTATTTTTCAAAATTTGTATGAACTTGTATGTGTTGGTCCATATGTTAATGATGTTGGATATTAACATACTGTAGTAACACATTTATTCTTGTAGGATCACTGTCAGAAAATTGATTTGAATGCCTGGTAATGACAATAAAATGTTTAAGCAATGTATATTTGTAAAAATATATTTAGTCATCAAAAAATGATGAACCAGCAAGTTTTACCATCTGCTGAAACAGTCAAAATGCATGTAACTCTGTTCAGAGATTTAACATTTAGTAAATTATTTCTTATTTATTTGGGTCAAAGGAAATCGTCAATTTTTGTATGTTGTTTTTATCAACTTGAGATTTTGGTTGCTGTTACAGTTTTCAGCAACATCCAAATGCTAATAAGAAAATCATGTTTGTCACTCTGAGATAGTATGTACAGTCACAATGCTGTCAAGAACCTTGCTAGTAAGTATAGTCACAATGCTGTCAAGAACCTTGCTGGCTCTGGGTACAGTGACTGGTATTAAGACCTCGTTATCCCCATCACTTCTGGAAACAGAAACATAAGTTGCTTTTTGGCAATCATTAATTTCACAAACAATATCTTCACTTGTTGGTATTTCGGATGTGACTGTATCATATCAGGATTATCAAGAAAATCTGTTTTCAGGCTATTCATACCTGGCACTTTGTTATGCAATCTGTTATCAGGCTATTCATACCTGGCACTTTGTTATGAAATCTGTTTTCAGGCTATTCATACCTGGCACTTTGTTATGCATTTAAACAACCAGTGTTTACAGGGCTTTGTTGCACAAGGTAATAAAATCCAATTAAATTTTTTATGAAAGGAACATTGTTACAAAGCCTGTGGAATATATAGTAATTTGGACTTTATTAAAGGAAATTATTCTTGAATGTTTTAACAGAGAAAAACATTTTTTCTCAGAATGGAATAGAGTCTTTAGTGTAATAGAAAAAAAATTCACTTATCAAATTACACCTTGTCTTTATATATAAAGCGAGATGTAGATGTTTTCTTCAGTTTGAAAACTGCTGATTTCAGAATAGTCACCATACAATTTTCTAATGCATATGTTTTGCTGAGGATAAAAAACAGTCTATTGCAGCCAGTAACTTT